CCTAAACAACATGGAAACCTCACTGGCCATGGGAGAAAAAACAGAAGAGCAGCCAAGGAAGGGACTTCCCAGAATGCCAGGCGTGTTCTTTACTCCTTCTATGGGTAATACAGATTCTCCACATTGTGACCTTACCACACAGCCACCTTCACCTGCTGCCCACACACTGATGGCAAAAGTTAAATACAAATGTCCTCGCTAAAAAAGAAAAAAAAAATGAAAAAAGAAAAAAAAAGAAAAACAAATGTCCTCGCTGGCAAATGTGGGAGAGATGGGAGGCTTGTGAGTTATCTATCGGTTGCCAAGAGGAAAGAGATAAGAGTAGGTATTTAAAAAAAAAAAAAGAGTAGGTATTTTTCCATTGAGGTGGTCTTGTCTCCTCTCAAATCAAAGTTAAATAGAAACTCGAGTTAACTGAAGCATTGTAAAGAACAGTAACATTTTTCTGAAGTTCTGCATTTGATTGAGGAACAAGATTTGAACCCAGCAGTGAGGGAGCCTCAGCACACAAGGATGACCCTCAGAACACCTTGACAAGGAACTTCCACCCATGCACGCGCCCCATACTACAAAACTGACCTCCCAGTGACGTCCAGGTACCTGGAGCCCCAGGCTCCTTGCTGCCCAGCTGAGGCGGCACAGAAGCCAGCCCAGCTGCCATTGTGCCGACTCTGATTTGTCAACTCCATGCATGTCAGAATAGAACTGTGCTCCCCCAGGCTTCCCGTGGCGGATCTTTCAGAAGCTGTCCACCAGGCCTTTTCTCTGAGGTGCCCCAAAGTGGTCGTTACCCTCTAATGTTTCAGTCACCTTTTACTGTTGTACACTAACTGTGTCCACTTCCCAGACAGGCTCAGCAGTTCTCTGAATGACCTGCAGTAAGACAAGGTTTCAGGGCCCAAAGTGCCACATGTAGAGACCCCTGATTATGATTTCGAGAGGAGAGACATGCCCACAAGCAGGAAGCCACCTCCCTGAGAACCCAAGCAGGACTCTGCCACAGTCATGCTCCCACCATGCTGCCCCTTGGTGATTCCTGGCATAGACCATATTGGCACTGCCAACAGACCTGGTGACTGTCATGGTCTGTGTTCCAGCAGGGTTAGTACAATTAGTCAGCTGGGGTCTCCTGCGCCAGAGACTGAACCTATCTGGTGGCAACAGGAGGTCGAGCATCGAGGCTGGTGGGGCAAACCTCCAGTCCCACGCCAGCCTGTAGTCATCACACAGCCAGCCTGTTCACTCTTGTAAACAGGATTAATACATCAGTTCCCTGGCTCCTTCATGAAGGCCAACTGTATTCACTGTTGCTCCTGGGGCACAGGAAATATGAGAGAATGAGGCACATATGGGGTGCAGAGGGTAAAGCCACTGTGTCCTGACACTGCCTCTATGTAGATGGACACCTGGGGCCCTCTGACCCTCGCTCCTTGCACTGCCACAGAGCACATGCTAGGTGGGGGCCCTCTTCCTTTCCACACCTCCAGGAAGGCAGGACAGGCCAGATGCTAAGCCAGCATGTTCACCACAGAAATGGCCAAAGGTGCTACAAAGGATAGACAACACACACCGTGTGGGCATCCTGTGGCTGCTGAGGCAGACCCGCCAACCACAAGTAGGGATTGCTAAGAATAATGGAAACTTATTTTCTTACGGGTTTGGAGGCCAGGAGTCTTGAAATCAGGGCCACATTTTCTGTGAGGCTCTTGAGGATGACACTTTCTTGTCCTTCCATGAGCTTGTGGCCAACAAAGGCCTATCCCTGACTCCATGATTACAGGGCCTGTTCCTCTTCTCTCTGTGGAGTATCCCCTGCTTCTGTCTTATAAAAGAACTTTGTGATGCCCCTAGGACCCACCCAGATGACACAGCACAACCTCCCACCTCTAGAGCCTTCACTGCAGATTGTCACACAGGCACATTCATAATATCCAGGAATTGAGACTTAATAATCTGGGGATGCACCACTCATCCTACCATCTCCTTCCCTGCCTCAGTGAGGGGAGCAGCTTTCTTGGTTAGTCCTGCACCTCATCGGAACAGAACTATATATCATCCAGGGCACTGCTGGTTGGCCAGGGCCACTTACTGCAAATGCAAGGCTGGTGCTTTGTTCACAGGAAAGCACCCCACATCCTTAACTCTGAAAAGGACCGGTGTGTGTGCTGAGCAGACCTGACAACGGCCTTGGGAAGACAGTGCGGCGGCAATAGCTTTAGGGGCAGGAGGGCCTGTGGATCACCATCCCTTGCCCGGAAGCCACCAATATCAGGGCTCCTTTTGCTCCCACAGCACATACAAGTCTCTGCCTTTGGCCAGAGCACCAGGAGGCAGAGGGTGCAGGCTGTACCGACTGAGTAAAGAGCATTAACAGAGAGGCTGTTTGAAACTCGGAACGCTCATGGACTTCTGCCATGCTGGGAAGAGGGGCAGGGGCATCAAGATGAACCATCATCACCTCCCTGTCCATCACCATGAAGACAGCCCCAAGGGGGTTCCAAGAGGCAGCAGACTCAAGAGCGGCCCAAGCTGCCTGGTCTACCTGGTTCACTCTGGTCTGTGAGAAGGTCAGTCTCCTACAGTCCTATCCCAGAACGCACTGCATCCCCAATTGCGTGCAGATGGGCTCCAACCTTGGGGTGCAGGAGGAGCTTCCACAGGCCAACCCGTTATCCTGACCACTTCCCATAGCCCGCTGGCTGGCTTTGTCCCTTCCCCAGATACTCTTCTGGATAGATACGGAGAAAGTTGTGACCTTAAGGCCAGTACTCAAGAATAAAGGTGATATGACAGTCCTTACAGGTGAAGGTGGAGCCTTTCAGGGCACTGGCAGGATGGGGGTGGGGGGGAAACAGATGAGCTATTTTGAGAGTGGGAGGCTGTCCAAAAGGAGGGCTGGTGCTAGCGGAGGGGTGGCCTCTCCCTCCTTGAAGCATATGTGCTCCTGGTACCCCTCCGTGTAACAATGCATGTGTCCCTGGCTAAGGTCCTTGGTGGTGCCAGGGTGGCCCTAAGACAGCATGCAGGAGAGCAGGGGGCTGTCACAGGAGCAGGCACAAAGCCCAGAACACTCACACCGGCCACGTGGGGTCCATGACCAATAAGAAGAAATGGCAGGGTTATCCTCCTGTTCCCACTTATGCCCATGAAGGGAAGGGGCGTGGGAAGGAAGGGGCGGGGAAGGACATCCCTGCCCCTGCCCAGGAGGTCACTTCCAAGTAAAGCCTCCAGCTACATATGAGAGGCCAACTTCAGCTCCCCTCCCTCCCAGCTAGGACACAGGACAGTTAGTTGCCTGAGTGTCCCAGGCCTCTGCTCAGATGGGTCCTCCTCAAGGAGTGTGGCCAGTGTTCCATCAAAAATCCCTCAAGTCTCCTGGTCAGCAGGGCAAACTACACTGAGACCCTGCCCCCCATGCAGTCCTGCCCAGGTCCCTGGGAATAGCTACCTGAACCAGCTCTGAGCCATGCTGCTGAGCCCCACACCCTGCTATATCCTCAGCCCCTTCTAAGGTTCCGCTGTGGGACCTGTGCTCAATTATGGGGTAACACAAGGTCCTGGGGATCCCCACTGCAGAGGCACCCACCTCATACAGTTATGGCATCTTTTTAGGTTGTGACCCTGGTCTCAGGAACTAGGGATGGGCCTCAGGACCCTCTCGCTGGGCCAATGAGTGCCCTGAAGGCTTGGGCGCTCGGGGTGTGTGTGTGTGTGTGTGTGTGTGTGTGTAGACATCTCTGTCTTTGGAAATTGAGCCTTAAGCTAGGCAAGCTCAGGGCTTGGCACTCAGCCCCTCCAGCATGCTGGCCACATCCACTTGGTAGGATGCCCACTGCAGGCTGCCCCTTGCCCCACATGTTGGGGAAGAGCAGGGCCAGTGTGGCAGGATGGAATGGACAAATGGCCCAGGCTGCCCATCTGGCCCTACTGACACAACACCCAGGACCTGAGGACTGGCTGTGTCAGGGACAGTGGACATGTCCTCTCTTCCCTCAGCTCTGAAAACTTCAGCCAAAAGCCTCAGTGTGGCCCCTTCTGCCCTTAGTCAGTTCCTGGCCCCCAACCCTCTCTGCACACACTGGATGATGACGCCCAGAGAGGCCTGTGGCCTTGCTGTGCTGTAAGCAGCCCTCCCACCCCACCCAAAGGCCCGATGCACCTGTCTCTTGGGTTTAACGCCACCCCATTATCAGTAGTGTATCGCTCCTTCACGACACCACACTGCACCCCTAGCTGGCATGAGTTAGCCAAGCGAGTCGACTGAGTGCCTGGCAGACAGATCATAAGCTCCCCCCGCCCGGGACTGTGTCCTCACACCCAACCATCTTGTAGAGCCCCAACTCAGCATTGGAGCTTCCCCTCTCCTACCAGCCTACCCAAGCCCTGAAGCTCAGTGACCACAGGGCCATCAAAAGGATCAAGGCCACTGTCCACATGTCATGGGGAGAGGATCGGGCCAAGAGGTCAGGTCCCTCCAGGGTCAAGGCTGCCAAATACAAACAGCTACTGGGGAGTCGGACAGGGAGTGAGTCCCTCGGGGACACAGGGCTGCTCTTCCGAGGCTGCCTGGGCACCAGCAGCAGAGTCCCTCCTGCACGCCCACACTCCCCTCCGTCCCCTTGCCCTCCCGTCATTCCTGCTCTCTTTCATTCCTTCCCCTCCATTGGGTTATGTAACTACATATACCTCGGTTTCCCTCTATGACCAGGGGCATATGTGGCCCCTCAGACTCTGGTGAGGGCCACAGGAGCTTACATGCTCAGTGAGTTGCTGGGGTTCAGGCAATGCACAAAGAATCTATGGTTACAGCCCCCCCCCCCATAAGGCACTCGCTACCCCTGCTTAGACGGGTCCCACCACTAGCCTCTCATCCTGGAGGATGCAATAAGCCCTGAACACACAGACTGCCTGGCTCCATCTCAGTGCCAGAGGTGGGAGGTAAGTTCGTCTCTGTGCCAAGTGCAGAAGCCAAAAGGCAAGGGTGGTCAGCGGGCCGTTACCTGCGGCCCCAATGAACACACAGTGCCCATCCTCCTGAGCAGGCAGAGAGGCACAGGCCACAGGCAGCCTGCCGCCCTCCAGGTGGCTCCAGCACGCGTCTTCCAGGGCCTCGCAGAACTGGCGGCAGGGTGGCGGGCCAGGAGGTGGGGCAGCGCCGCAGGGGGGTGCCAAGAGCAGGCAGAAGAACCACCCCAGGAAGTGGTGGCAGCCCGTCTGGAGGAGGTCCCCCCAGGCCTGCGCGGCCACCCTCACCTCCTCATCACTCTCATGGCCGAGGTGGTTGGGCAGCTGGGTGTGACCAATGCCCAAGTGTCGGCAGAGCAGCATTGAGGGTGGCAGAGGCCGGCAGCGGCCAGCAGACGGCCCAGCAGCAGCAAGTGGTTCAGAGGCATTAGCGAGACCAGGACTGGAGGAATTAGCCAGGTGAGAACCCCAATCACCAAGATCCCTGATTAAAGCTGTGACCAGAGACCATTCGGCTGGGTGGTCCTTCTGCATATGGCTGCCCCCACCACCAGGGTCACCAAGCAGGTCCCCCCTACCACGCTGGGCTGAGCGGGCATCAGAGAAGTCAGAGGAGACAGCATGAGTAGAGCCCATCACCAAGGGATGCAGATGAGGCACGCGGTGGGGGAGGCTGGTGTGCTGGTCCTGCTGGCCGGGCAGGAGTTCTCCACCGTCCAGACGTGGGAGCGGCTTCCAGAAGGAAAGAGGAGCTGTACCTGGAGATGGTGGGAGCATCGAGGGGCCCCTAAGAAGGGCCCGGGGCCCACTCGATGAGGGAAGCACCTGAGTGAGTGCTGGCAGGGTGCTAAGATGAGTCTCCAGGGTGTCCTGGGAGCTGGGGGCTGCAGGGGTGCTTGAGGATGAAGAAAGGGTGGAGGGTTCCACGGGGGCTGTGGAGACCGAGGTATCCATCCTGGCTGCACTCTCTGTGATGGTGCCATCATCCCACAACTGGACGAAACTCCGAATGCCCTGGGCCATGTTCAGGATCTTGGCTCCCATGCCAGCAATGTTCTCCTCCTTCTTGTTTGGGATGGAAGCCAGGGTGGCAGGGGCGTTCGTCTGCTCTGTAAGGCCATTCTGGAGTGCCACGTGTGTGGTGGGGTCCATGTGTGTGGTAGAGTCCACATGCGTGGTGGGGTCCACAGTGGGCTGCACAGGTGGTCGGCTCGGGGGCTTGGAGGCCAGTGTCTCTGGCTGTCCCACAATCCTAGGGGACCACAGCCATTCCAGGCCCATCATTTCAGCATGGGCAGCGGCAAGGCAGCAGCTGAGCAGCAGGAGGCTGCGGGGGCCGCTGGGGTCCGGAGCCATCGGGGCTGCGTGTGTGCACTGCCCCCGGACGTTGGGCGGCAACTCCATCCCAAGCTAGGGCCGCCCTCCGCCCTCCCGCCCTCCTGGCGCGCAGCCAGCTTCCCATTCCCAGTCCCCAGCACGCCCTCTCTCTGCAGCAGTTCTGCCTTCATCTCACTTACAAAGAAGAGAAGGCACAGGTCTTGGAATCAGAGTCAGAATCAAGGTGGCCTCTCAAGCATGTTCCCCAAGACTCCGGCTCTCAAACACTTAACTCTTTCCTTCCCAAGGTTCCATGAAGCAGCCGCAGGCATAGGGCAAATCGCACACTGAAGGACACCCATCCTAGTCCTAATTTCCTTTGTCTACTCCCCAGAACTATTTCAGGGGCGATCTCTCACCCGGGGCTCCTGATTCCCTGCGCGCCAACCCTCAGTCAGCCCCCACTAGGCCTGGCTCCCTGCCTGCTCTGAGGAGTGGGTGGCAGTGGGCCTGGCGTGGGGCCAGCGCCTGAGGCAAAACTGGAACCTAGAGATGCCCAAATTGTTACAATTCCAAGTCCTCTGTGGCTTCCACCTCCGGGGAGATGTGCCGAAGAACTGGGGACAGGAGCAGGACCTACCCAAACCGAGTTCCCACTCCCTACTGGCCCAGCCTGGCCTGTGGCCTCTCCACTCCTAATGGCTCAGGTGGCACCTAGACTCCTTTCTCTTCTGGTTAAAAATGTCCTCACAGAAAAGATGGTCAATCTCCCATGCAATTTACTGCCTCTGAAAACCCACAGGAGAGTCAGCTATGGGTTTGTTCTCACTGACAGTACTTAACAACAGCAGCATTGGGAAGGTTAATGGAGCAGACGGTGCCATGGCCATGTTCCAGCAGGCCTCCCCCTGCTTTCCCTCTACCCCACACCCCACCTCCACTGTGGAATTGTGGAGTCTCAGGGTCCACTACCGCCCCATGGCCCCAGGGGCAGATGTTCTGAGTAGCGACATCTGTAGGCAATGTGGCCACTGGTCAGATGAGCTCCAAGGTCAGCTGTGCTGACATACCTGGACCCTTCAGTAACTCAGCACTCCCTGCAGCCCTCTGGCCTCAGGAGAGGGCTTCACTGTTGAGCATGGACACTGAGGACTTACTGTATGGGTGAATCACTTTGAGAGCCAGGACTGTTACCATCCTCCCCATGCTCTAGGGAGGGGTGTCACAGCTCTGGCTCAAGTCATCTTACCTTAGAGAAGAGCCCCCACCCTGTGCCGGGTATCACCTGACCAGGTTTCTGACTTTCAGATGGGGGTGCCCCTGCAAGCCTGAGACACTGAGAGCCTGGAGGCCCCCGAGGAGGGCAGGCATGCCGCATACACACACCTGCCCCTACAGCAGCAGCTACTCTGACTGTGCCCGCCTAGTTGTCTTGACATTTATCTTTTTGCACTGCGAAGTAAGGGAGGGAAATGGAGCAGGAAGAGAACCGAAACCATCCTCTACCTTCTGCACCCCAGGCAGCTCTCCACCTCACAGCCTCAGTCTTGGTCACCTGGTGCCAGCAGCTCCCAGGAGCCTTGGCTCTGCCTTGACCATCTGACACAGTTGAAGACACGCGGCAAGGGCTTCTAAAGATAGGAAAACCTTCAGGCCTATGGCCTGACCCTGGGGTCCATAACCTTCATTCATAGATCAAACAGGAGTCAAGGGTTGAGGCACGGATCACGCCTCTGAAGCAGTGTTGGAAACTTACTTCAGTGTGGGAACTGGGACAGCAGGGGGCTTCCCTGAAGCTAGAAGGGGCCCTCTACCCTCCCTTCTGCCAAGTGCATTATCAATAATTAAACAATGCCACACAAGTAGTCAAGAAGCAAAGAAATCCTTCTGGGAAATGACTGTTCTGCAGGAATGGTAATGACTAAAGAAGTTTAGTCTCTATCTTCTTAAAAAACCTCACATGGTAATCTTCTCTCGGATTACGCTCTTCTGTGAAGCACAGAGCGGAAACAGAGAGACTCAGGGTGTCTGTCGGCTGTGGGGGTGATGAGCCCAGTTAAGGGCACCCACTCACAGCCCTGCTCACCAGTCCTTGAGGCTCCCTGACCACTGGCCTCCCTGTGACACCTCCTAGAGAATGCAGCCCATGAGTTGTAAAATAATAAATTTGAGAATACCAAGACCAACTCAAACCAACCCAGTACTTGCTGAGTTTTCTATTTCTTGGCATCATTGATCACTCTCTCACACAGGAACAGAGCTGAGAAACACCCATCAAATGTCCTGTGGGTGCTGGCTCCCCAGGCTAAGCCACCTCCTTGCCCACCACTGCCCTGGACATCAGTGTCTAATAGCGCTGACACTGTAACCCAAGGGGTGACTGCAATCCACTTAATGACCCGATTCTAGAAGGAAGAGAGGACTCCCTGGCATGGTTGATGCGAGAAGCCCAGTGTCAGGTCTTGCTGAGCCTGGCTCATGACCCACCTTGTCCTGGAGCCTCTCTGAGTAGATTCTGACACTTGGAATCATGAAGCTTTGGGGACCTTGCAGACTTGCATATTATTCACTTCACCACAGCACTGATTATGCAGAGGAGCAGTGCTAGCCAGGAGGGATGCCTTTGTTGTTTCCTGCTTGTATCAAGTCCAGGCAGCCAAAGTGTGTCATTTAGGGAGCCCTACTCCCATCTCTCGGAAGCAGACGTGACATCCACTTCTGTAATAGCTTGCCTCCAGAAACCCTATGAACCTGGAGAGAGGATGAAAGACACACAAGCGTTGAGGACTCTCTTCATAGAGTTGCTATGAGCTGCCTGCAACTCGATGGCACTTAACAACAACAATTCCCATCTCACGGGGTCAAGGTGACTGGGCTAGGGTCTCTCGGGGTCCTGTGTACTCAGGCAGTAAAAAGCCCTGCTTAAAATCATGGAGTATCTCAGAGTTGGAGCCAACTGAACCAAGGCAGCTCACACACATGTGTGTACACACACACACATTGGTGCTCACAGAGTGCTCACATGAGAACACACACATGCATGTATGTGTCACGCATACGCTCACGTGTACTCGTGTAATGGTACACTCATGCATCAACACAATCACACATGCACACAGGTAGCAGGTACTCACGCACACACATTCAAACTGTCACACCCTTTTTATGGCCACATTTCTGACTAGATCCCACTGATGGAGGCCTGATCCTGGTAAAACAGCCCCAGAGCCTTGCCGTCCTCATCTCAGAGCACTAAGTAAACAATCCAGCAGTTCCATCTAAAGGGCAGGATCTAGCTGTTTGGAATCAGAACAGGACTTCGGAACAGCTGGACACCGAGTTCCCTCTCTGAGCCTTGGGGAGGGGGTCTCCCTATGCTAACAGCTGCATCTCAGAGTTCCCAAACTAATCCCCACAATGCTCAGAGCACAGGCTAAGAAACGCCAGAGAACGGTCTCTGCCCAAAAAATCTCCTGCTACTAATGCGATTTTCTGCTGAGGAATGTCTCCGGCAGGCCTCGGGGCGGAAGTCCCCCTCACGTACAGCACATACAGGGAGGGGCCGTGTCCATGTGGCAATTCTGACTCACCCTCGGAATAGGGTGCCCCTTGCTGTCCTGCTGGCTCTGGGAGCTCGGCCAATCGTGGCATAAATGTTAACCCCTTGTGGGCCCTGTAGCTGCCTGCACAGCAGGAAGACCATCTTCACCTCAATTTGAGATTCCTAAAGTTGAGCAAGGTACAAGGTACGTGGCCAGAAGAAGGGGTGCCTACATCCAGCTCACCTCCAGTTCCTCCTCAGACCAGAAAAAGTGCCCCTCTCCACCCCCTGTGCCCCACAGTGGAAATGGCTTCTCTCTGGTGCGGCTGTCCCAGTGGTCTGCCCACAGCACCCCAGTGAGCCATGGAGAGGACTAAATTACGGGGAGACTGGGTTGCTTGAGGTCAGCCCTACACTGTCAGTTGTGAGTTGTACTGTTTTCCTCCTAAAATATAAAGTCGTAGCTCCCGCACCTGTGAGTGAGACCATATTTGGAAAGAGGGTCTTTGCAGATGTCACCAGTTGGCATGGGGTCATGTAGAAATACAGTCACTTCTCTCATTACCATCTACAGCCTCTGAAACCCGCGGTAGGGTCAACGGCAGCGAGTTGGAATTTTGAGTTAAATTCTGTATGGCTGGTGTCCTTACAAAAGAGAAGAGTCACAGACACAGAGGAGAAATGGCCACATGACGATGAAGGCAGAGACGGGCGTGATGCATCTACAGGCTCAGAATCACCAGCCATTACCAGAAGCTGGGAGAGAGGTGAGGAGCCGAGTCTCCTGAGAGTCCTAGGAGGAACCTGCATGGCGGTGCTCCAATTGGACTCTGCCCCTCAAGAACACATTGCTGTTCTGCAAGGCCCTGAGTCTGGTTCTGTATCACGACTACTTTCAGACACTGTGTCCCGACTCCCTGGTCCCCAGTTTAGCTCCGGGATGAGTCAAGGCACCTACAATGGCACATCTTGGATATGAGAGGTCTCTGGGCTCCCTGGCTGTGCCAGGAAGTCAGGATTCTATAGTTACTACACCGCATTCTCAGGACACCCAGCTGAAGTCTTATCTCACTCCTAAGACCCGATTTTACCACATGCAGACCAGCACGCCATCTTTGGGGTGAGAGAAGTTTGGGTCCACAGAAGTCTAACAGGCAGCACCTTAGGAGCTGAGGAATGTTGGTGGAGAGGCACGGATTTTTTTTTTCTTTCTGATTTTGCCTGACTACAAATACCATTGCCAAGAAGGGAAACAACTCCCTCCACGTCCTCCAGATAGGTCACTCCAACACCCTGGGGCTATGAAAACACAATCTATACCCTCCACCTCTAGCAAGCCAGCCCTGGACCAACCACCAGCTGTCATTTAAGGAGTGGCGTCTCTCCCTCCCCCATTGCCATAGAGTGAGACTAACTCATAAACTGACCCTCCTGTAGTTTACAGAGACTGTAAACGGTCCAGGAGGAGACTGCTCATCCTTCTCCCTCAAAATTGCTG